AAAAAAAAAAAAAAAAAATTGGAAACCGTCTAATGGCTGGTTGAAAAGATTATGAAGTAAAGTAGAAAATTATGTTATTTGTTAAAAGAGAAATGTAGAACATGAGCTTTTATAGAGAATTTCCATAATATATCATTAAATGATGAAGGCAACTTATAAAACTATTAAAATCTGATCTTATTTTTGTGAAAAATTTGTATTTACACACAGAAGCATACATAATTATTCTAGGTGGTATTGCTGGGCATAGAGCTAGGATGAGGTGTTACACCTGTATATTTGACTATCTTAATAAAAAATACTTTGATTTTTGTTATAACTTTAAAAAATGCAAATCAGAAGGTGAAAACAAAATTTCAGTATACTGTGAGAAAGAGTGATGACTATACACTGTCCCACTATTCCATACATAGAGCTGCTGGGAATGGCTTCACAGAGATAATGTTGACGGAATTATGGGTGTTTTCTTTTTCTTCTTTTTCTTTCTTTTCTTTCTTTTCTTTTTTTTTTTTTTGAGACAGAATCTCAAGCTGTTGCCCTGGGTAGAGTGCCATGGTGACATCATAGCTCACAGCAACCTCCAACTCTTGGACTCAAGCAGTTCTCTTGTCTCAGGGGTCTGGGTCTGGCTCAGGCTGGTCTCAAACCCATGAGCTCAAGTAGTACACCTGCCTAAGCCACCCAATGTGCTAGGATTACAGGGGTGAGCCACCTTGCTCAGACTGATTTCTTTTTCTTTAATTGTTATTGTAAATGCTGTTTTAAAATACCCATTTTTTTTTTTTTTAAGAGACAGAGTCTTACTTTGTCGCCCTCTGTAGAGTACTGTAGTGTCATAGCTGACAGCAACCTCCAGCTCTTGGGCTTAGGTGATACTCTTGCCGCATCCTCTTGAGCAGCTGGGACTACAAGTGCCAGCCACAACCCCTGGCTATTATTTTGTTGTAGTTTGGCCGGGGCCAAGTTCAAACCTGCCACCCTTGGTATATGGGGCTGGCGCCCTACTCACTGAGCCACAGGCACCACCCAGAATACCCATATTTTTTTCTCATAGTGATCCTTGTTATGTGATTTTTCCCTATTGATTGCTTGTGGTGTTTGTAATATAGGAATGTTAGACCTGGGGAATAGGAAAGCCAGAACCAATCCAACTTTATTCTGGTGAAGAGTGTCATACTTTTGTCCTAATTCATAAAAGCAACACATTGGAAATCTCTAAGGTCTGTCACTGTTGAAGTCCTATAGTCACATTTCCCAAGGAAGAGGTAAATGATCTTAAGAGATATACAAACTTGATAGGGATACCTAAAACACACTAAGTCTGTATTCTGGGGAGGGCAGAAATAAAGAGTTATTCTAATTACCTGAACTGCACTTAGGTACTGAAGAAGATCTGGAATTCTATGTCAGGAAGTGTGGTGACATTCTTGGAGTGACTAATAAACTACCAAAGGACCAACAAGATGCCAAACATATCCTTGAGCACATCTTCTTCCAAGTGGTGGAGTTCAAGAAACTGAACCAGGTACAGAGCCTAGAAGGCCACTGAAGTGGGAATCCCTCCAGTGGTATCATCCATAAACTGTGCTTCCGTGTTTTATGGCATTTATTCAGTCCTCAGTATTTATTAAGTGTCTACTGGGCAACAAAACAGGCAATGGTCCCTGAACTTAGATTCTAGCTGGAGCATGCAGACAGTACACAGTAATGTATAAGCAAGTCGCTCACGCCTATAATCCTAGCACTCTGGTAGGCCAAGGCAGGTGGATTGCTTGAGCTCACAAGTTCAAGACCACCTGAGTGAAAGCAAAACCCAGTCTCTACTAAAAATAGAAAAAAAGAAAAATAACTGAGGCAAGAGGATCACTTGAGCCTGAGAGTTTGAGGTTGCTGTAAGCTATGACGCCATGGCCCTCTACCTAGGGCAATAGTTTGAGACTCTGTCTCAGAAAAAAAATATAGATTTTTTTCACTTTTCATGGGACAAAACAGCTTTTTTTAATGTAAGCAGGCAGAATATAAGCTTAGTATTTTTGATGCTGAGTAGAAAGCCCTATTAGGGTCTGAACCTGTAGTACAGCAGTTCTCAACCTGTGGGTCACGACCCCTTTGTAACAATGAAAATACATCCTGCATATCAGATATTTACATTACGATTCATAACAGTAGCAAAATTACAATTATGAAGTAGCAATGAAAATAATTTTATGGTTGAGGGGTCACCACAATAGGAAGAACTGTATTAAAGGGTCAAGGCATTAGGAGGCATTAGAAGGCATTAGGAAGGTTGAGATCCACTGCTCTAGTGGAAGGAGGCTGGCTCTGCTGGGTACCCACGTGGTTCCTTGTGTGTGCCAGGCATGGTGCTAGAGGCTGGGGCCATTGCAGCGAACAAGATGAGTGTAGTCCTAGCTGTCTCTAGAACCATGTGCAGTAGGAGACAGGAGTGTTTCTGCAATTATAGTGGTCTAAGTGCACTAAAGTTATAACTTAGTTATAGTTAATAACTGAGGTTATTGATTTGTCTGTTCAGCAGTGAAATGTGGGATGGGGGCCAGGTATGTTCCCAACAGTCCTAACCCTGGTGATGTGGCAGCACAGGGCCCCATAGTACGAAGTTTGGTGTGGTCTTTCCACCAGTACCTTCCACTATATTTGTTACTCATTATGGTGGGTGATAGGCAGTGATCAAAAACCCTGTCCTGGTAGTAATAATTTGATCCTTGGGTTGGATTCAGTCTTGAAGCTAAAGGTATGTACCAATTAATGATAATTCAGGCAGCGCCTGTTGCTCAGTGGGTAGGGCACTGGCCACGTACACTAAGGCTGGTGGGTTTGAACCTGGCCTGGGCCAGGTAAAACGACAATGACAACTGCAACAAAAAAAATAGCTAGGTGGGCTTGGCACCTGTGGCTCAAGTGGCTAAGGTGCCCGCCACATACACCTGAGCTGGCGGGTTCAAATCCAGCCTGGGCCCACCAAATAACAATGACAGCTGCAACCAAAAAGAAAAATAGCTGGGCATTGTGGCAGGTGCCTGTAGTCCCAACTGCTTAGGAAGAGGAGGCAGGAGACTCACTTGAGCCCAGGAGTTAGAGGTTGCTGTGAACTGTGATGCCACAGCCCTCTACCCAGGGCAAAAGCTTGAGGTTCTGTCTCCAAAAAAAAAAAATAGCCAGGCGTTGTGGCAGGCGCCTTTAGTCCTAGCTACTTGGGAAGCTGAGGCAAGAGAATCGCTTGAGCCCAAGAGTTTGAGCCTGAGACTCTGTCTTTAAAAAAAAAAAAAAAAAGGCTCAGTGCCTATGGCTTGAGCAGCTAAGGTGCTAGCCACATACACCTAAGGTGGTGGGTTCGAATCCAGCTCCGGCCCGTCAAACAACAATGACAGCTGCAACCAAAAAATAGCCGGGCGTTGTGGTGAGTGCCTGCGGTCCCAGCTACTTGGGAGGCTGAGGCAGGAGACTCGCTTGAGCCCAGGAGTTGGAGGTTGCTGTGAGCTTTGATGCCACAGCACTCTACCCAGGGGGACAAACTTAAGGCTCTGTCTCAAAAAAAAAAGATCTCAAAATCTCTAATTAAAGTCCAAAACACCAAAGAGTTCATGTTTAAGACTTTATGCTAAAATATTAAAATCCTATGTCTTATTCTCTTATCCAGGAGCATGACATTGATACAAGTGAAACAGCGTTCCAGAACAATTTCTGAGGACTGTGCCTCTGGAAGCATTTTTTGCCTTCTGACTCTTCCCTGTTTGTAATCTGTTTTTCAATTGTTCCTCAACTCCTTATCAAAATTCTCTATATGCTCTTTCCTCGAGAGCTGTGGAAGGTCTGTGCATTTTGGGTAGTACCTCGAAAGGTATAAGATTTCTAATTTACAAAATCCTTATGTAAGATATACTCCATTTTTAATTAAATCTGTGTTGAATCTGTACTTTTATAATTTATGAAGATTTTTTCCAAGTCCAGTGCTGGATTTGAGTCTCCTTTATCAAAAGTATAAATCTCTAGATTGTTGTAAATACTGTACAGCTTTCTGAACTAGTTCAGAAGGATACAAAACAAACTTAACCTGCAGTCTGTTTTTCCCACCATATGTAGGGGAAAGGATAATATAATAGATACCTTCCGTATATAGATATTCACACCTTCATCTCCTAGCTGCCCACAAGACACAACTATTTAGAAGTTGTAGTCTTGGCTTAGCACCTGTAGCTCAGTGAGTAGAGCGCTGGCCACATACACTGAGGCTGGCAGGTTCAAGCCCAGCCTGGGCCTGCTAAACAACAATGACAACTTCAACAACAACAACAACAAAAATAGCTGGGTGCTGTGGTGGGTACCTGTAGTCCCAGCTACTAGGGAGGCTGAGGCAAGAGAATCGCTTAAGCCCAAGAGTTGGAGGTTGCTGTGAGCTGTGACGTCCATGGCATTCTACCCAGGGCGACATAATAAGACTCTGTCTCAAAAAAAAAAATTTGTAGTGTGCACCCATGCTTTTTCCTCCCTCTTCTGTCCTGAAGCCCTCAATTCTGTCATCATTTGGGGTTATAATACAGGGTAAGATACGGTCATCACTCCAAAGGAGGCTAGACACTGTTGTCATGGGACAGTGGGAGAGACTGCACCTACGTAAATGGGGCAGCTGATGGAAATACACAACAGTGCACTGGAATACACTGGGGACCAGCTTTTGGAAACCCTGAAGGCCAGAAAGAAGGTTGAAGAACCACTGAAGGTGTGTGAGAGTTGTGGCACAAAAGTGATAGTTTAGCTGGAGACTGACGGTGTGTGAGAGTTGTGGCACAAAGGTGATAGTTTAGCTGGAGGGTCCAATAAAGATGGCAACAGCAGAAGGAAGGTCCTTGAGGGAGAAAATACATAAACCCAAGAGAAAGTAACAGGGATGTGGACTAAAGGGCCCATGTAAGAAAGATAGAAGGGGGAGCCACTTTGTTCTGAGAGCAGAGTCTAGGGGCTCTGTCTCACTTTCTGTCTGTCAGCTGGGAGACACGCAGCTGGAGAAGGGCACTGGGGAGTGCTGTCACAGTGCACTTGGAATACATTCCCCAACAGCAACAATTGTCTCCCAACCCATAGCTCTTCTCTTAACACTGAGTTTGATGTTCTTCCCATGAAAGAGGTGGGGTCTCTGTTCCCACCTTCTGAATCTGGCACTGTGATGCTAATACGATTTCTGAAGCTAGGTCATAAGAGGCTATTATAGTTTCTGCCTGGTTCTCTTAGGACACTCACCTTTAGAGCATAAGCCTCCATGTGGAGGCCCAGGGCCATGTGGATAGGTCACATACAGGTGTTCTGGCCAACCAGTAGAGGTCTCAATCTGTACTAGCATCACCTGACAAAAATGATACCTCTAAAGTGATTCCTGGCTCCAGCCATCAAGTCACCCCAGCCTTTAAGTCATCCCACCCAAGGCCCAGACATGATGGAACAGAGACAAACCATCTCTGTTGTGTCCTTTGTGAATTCCTGACTCAAAGAATCCATAAATATAACAAAATGGCAGTTTTAAGCCACTGATTTGCAGTAATTTTTTTTTTTTTTGCAGTTTTTGGCTGGGGCCAGGTTTGAACCTGCCACCTCTGGTATATGGGGCCTGCACCCTACTCCTTTGAGCCACAGACACTGCCCTGCAATAATTTGTTATGTAGAAATAGATAAATAAATACCTACAATCGTGGAATTTTTTGGCTCTATCTGAACTTAATCCAGCTTTACTTTCCAAAAGATTAATTGAGGCCTAGGTGGGGAAGAGACTGACAGCCTGCCTACTAATCCCCTTCTCTACCACACCTTCTCAGCCCAAGAAAGTGGCCTGGACAAGGCAAGGCCTGTCCCACCACAGGAGTCAGCAGGCTTTTGCCCGTCATCCTTGCAGCAAGGATGTAATTTTTTTTTATTCCACTAATATGAAAATTTTGGAACATAGAAAAGTAGAAAGAATAGTAAAATAAACATTGATATTAAAAATTAAACATTAACATTGCCATATATGGGCTCAGTGGCTCAAGCAGCTAGGGTGCCAGCCTCATACACCTGAGTTGGTGGGTTCAAATTCAGCCCAGGCCCGCCAAACAACAATGATGGCTGCAACCAAAAAATAGCCAGGCATTGTGGTGGGCGCCTAGAGTCCCAGCTACTTGGGAGGTGGAGACAGGAGAATCACTTGAGCCCAGGCTTTGGAGGTTGCTGTGAGCTGTGATGCCACGGCATTCTACCCAGGGCGACAGCTTGAGGCTCTGTCTCAGAACAAAAAAAAAAAACATTGCCATATATGCTTTATGTGTGTATAATATTAAACCGAACATCTGAGATGAAATTTCAGACACTATAGCACTTCACCCCAGAATACTTCATTTTATGTACATACAACTATATGCTATTATCATTTCTGCTATCACCTAAGATTTAATGTATATTCAGATTGTTCCCCAATTGTCCCCAAAAATCTATTTATAGTTTTTTTCCAGCCAGGATTTAGTCAAATTTCATACATTATATTTATTTGATTTTAAGTCCAAAACAGTGTCATCCTTTTTTTTTTTTAATTAATGACATTGACTTTTCTTTTTGTTCTAGTTTTATTTACATAGTATGACACTGGATTTTAAAGAGATCAAATTAGATGTTGTGTAGAGTATATTTCACATTCTGGATTTATCTGATCGATCTTTTTCTTTGAGATAGTCTCACTTTGTCACTCTCAATAGATTGCTATGGCATCATAGCTCACAGCAACCTCCAACTCTTGGGCTCAAGTTATTCTCTTGCTTCAGCTTCCCAAATAGCTGGGACTACAGGTGCCTGCCACAATGCCCAACTTTTTTTTTTTTTTTGAGACAGAGTTTCACTATGTTGCCCTTGGTAGAGTGCTGTAGCATCACAGCTCACAGCAACCTCAAACTCTTGGACTCAAGCAATTCTCTTGCCTTAGCCTCCCATTCCCTGTAGCTGGAACTACAGGTGCTTGCCACATCGCCTGGCTATTTTTTTTTTCTTTTGAGACAGAGCCTCAAGTTGTCCCCCTGGGTAGAGTCCTGTGGCATCACGATCACAGCTCACAGCAATCTCCAACACCTGGGCTCTAGCAAGTCTCCCGTCTCAGCCTCTCAAGTAGCTGGGACCACAGGTGCCCACCACAATGCCTGGTTATTTTTTGGTTGCAGCCATCATTGTTGTTTGGCGGGCCCAAGCTGTATTCAAACCCGCCACCTTAGGTGTACGTGGCTGGCGCCTTAGGCACTTGAGCCACAGGTGCCGAGCCATCGCCTGGCTATTTTTTAAAAAGGTTGTAGTTGTTAATTGTTTGGCAAGTCTGGGCTGGTTTTAAACCCACCAGTCCCAGTGTACATGGCTGTTGCCCTAGCTACGGAGCTACAGGTGCCAAGCCAATACCCAGCTATTTTTAGAGACGGGGTCTACCTCTTGTTCATGCTGGTCTGGAAACTGTGAGCTCAGGCATTCCAACCACCTCAGCCTCCCAGAGTGCTAGGATTACAGGCATGAGCCACCACTCTTGGCCAATCATTGTTTTTATTAACTTGTTCCTTTATCTCCTTTGTTTCCTATAAACTGGAAGTTAGATATAAAGGCTTGAAGCGCTTTGCATTTAAAACTTTTTGGAAGAATATTTCACAGGTAGTCATGCGTATAATGTCAGAGGACATTACTAATGGAGACATTAGTAAAATTAAGTTTAATCAACTAAAGTGAGGTACAGGGTGTTTTTTGTGTGTGTGTTTTGTTTTTGAGACAATCTCACTCCCCTGACCTAGAGAATGTTGTGGCATCATAGCTCACAGCAAGTTCAAATTCTTGGGTTCAAGCAATCCTCTTGCCTGTTTTCCAAGTAGCTTAGACTACAGGCACACACCAGCATACCTGGCTAGTTTTTCTATTTTTAGTAGAAACAGGGTCTCTTGCTCAGGCTGTTCTCCAACTCCTGAGCTTGAGCAATCCACTTACCTCTGCCTCCCAGAGTGCTAGGATTACAGGTGTAAGCCACTGTGCCTGGCCAGGAGCAGGATGGTTTTAAATTCAAACAGGAGTCATAAGAATGCCCCTTTGGGGGGAGGTGGGAAGAAGGAAGGTACGCAGGGGGACCTCAACTAAGGTGCATGATGCAATGGTACGTTTCAAAACTATTAAGAGTATAATTGTGATGGATGTGTTAATCAGTTCAATGTAAACATTTCACGTATATCAGTGCACTGAACCCCATAAATGCATCAATGTACACAGCTATTATTTAATTTAAAAAATGCCCCTTTAAGGCGGCGCCTGTGGCTCAGTTGGTAGGGCGCCAGCCCCGGCCAAACTGCAACAAAAAAATAGCCGGGCATTGTGGCAGGCGCCTGTAGTCCCAGCTACTTGGGAGGCTGAGACAAGAGAATCGCCTAAGCCCAGGAGTTGGAGGTTGCTATGAGGTGTGTGATGCCATGGCACTCTACCGAGGGCAGTAAAGTGAGACTCTGTCTCTACAAAAAAAAAAAAAGCCCCTTAATCTCAGCTGCTGTTCATTATGTGCACAAACTTTTCTGGTACATAAGTCAGTGGAGATGAGAAATAACTGACTTGAACAAATGTTTCAACTTCATTCTTTAAAATAAAAAGGAACAAAATGATAATACCAGTTTTAGCAGGTTACAGCACAAAAATAACTGGAGATTTTATTTTTTCAACTCAAATATGTCTCTAATCAGAGAAACGTTAATCGTTAATGTGAAGAGGAAATAACATAATGATGAGAGATAGTGGAGGTGACAGAACCTCTCTCTCCTACTCAGGAACAAGGAAGAAAATTTGTAGCATCTTATGATTCACGGATCCTACTGTGTGGCTTTGCTAAGTTTCTTTTCATTTATAAAACCAAATAATAGAGCGGTTTTTGCTCTTGGACTTAGGCAATTCTCATTCCT